AACCACCCCCCAAAACGCATTGACTTAACATTACGCCAAACTTTGACAGATTATAGCACCAAGTGTGAAATTCATAGAAATATGGGATTCACATCATCTGTAGGGGGTTGCAGCCTAAGTGAGAACATAACCCGCAAGGGGGTTTAAGTTGCACCCCTGGGGCTCTAGGACGTCCCAAAGTGCTCCCATTGACTTACATTGGCCCATTGACTCCCATTCATTTTCTAGACACTCGTAGATACTATTCCCGGAAATCGCCGTAGCGCCAACAGTGAATATCGTAGAGACATGGGATTCGCGACATCTCGAAAGGGTTATAGGAGGCTTCAAACCACACCCCGAAAGGCGGTAAATGTTGTACCCCTGGGGAGCTAGGACGTCCCAAAGTCTCCATTGACTTTACATGGAGCCGAACTTTGACGAATCACAGCGCCGAGTGTGAATTTCACAGAAATATGGGATTCACAACATCTGTAGGGGGTTGCAGCCTAAGTGAGAACATACCCTGAAAGGGGGTATAGGTTGTACCCCTGGGGTGGTAGGACGTCCCAAAAGGGTTCCCATTGACTTTACATTGCCCATTGACTCCCATTCATTACATTGACTCCCATTATAAATGTCATATGTCAATCAAAGTACAGCACTGTCATACAGACTTGGGGGTTGGCTTATTTGACTAGGGCAACCAATCAGCATCTCATTATGATTTTGAAGCTCACAGGCCACGCCCCCCCAAACCACTTAAAGACCCTTAATAAGTGCCCCATTGACTTAACATGGGGTGGGATGTCCCATTGCAGATCCCATTGACTTCCATTATAAAGGTCACACATCTATAACATTACATAGGAGTGTCATAGAGACATGGGGGTGGGCTCATCTGACTCAGACAACCAATGAGCATCTCAATATGATAATGAAGCTCACAAGCCACGCCCCCAAACTGGTCCCATAGACTGCCATTATAACTGGCCTACATGCATATCTTTGCTTAGCAGTGTCCTTTTGACTTGGGGGATGGCTCATCTGACTCAGACAACCAATCAGCATCTCAGTATGATAATGAAGCTCACAAGCCACGCCCCCAAACTGGTCCCATAGACTGCCATTATAACTGGCCTACATGCATATCTTTGCTTAGCAGTGTCCTATTGGCTTGGGGGATGGCTCATCTGACTCAGACAACCAATCAGCATCTCAATATGATAATGAAGCTCACAAGCCACGCCCCCAAACTGGTCCCATAGACTTCCATTATAACTGGCCTACATGCATATCTTTGCTTAGCAGTGTCCTATTGGCTTGGGGGTTGGCTCATTTCACTTGGACAGCCAACCACATTCAAGTTCACTCTGTAACCTCGCCCATAGCAACAAAACAGAGTACCCTAGCAACCATTCATCAACAGCTATATCTCGGCATCAGAACATCGTAGAGACTTGGGGATTGGCTAGTTTGACTCATGCTAGCAAACGGAACTTCCTATATGCTACACATGCTAGCGCTGACTAGCTACAAGCTAATATTGACTAGCCAAGTACTGTAACTTGCTATAAATGCTTACTAAGTATAAATATTTCATCAGGCATGTATGTGAGGCTTGCCTAGTAACCACCCAGGGTACCCTAGCAACTGCCTAGCAACCACCAAAATTACCCTAGCAACCGCCTAGCAACCACCTAGCAACCGCCTAGTAACGCCTTAGTAAGGGCCTAGCGACCACTCAGGACACCCTAGCAACCGCCTAGCAACGCCTTAGCAACCACTCAGAATACCCTAGCAACCACCTAGAAGCACCTTAGCAACCACCTAGCAACCACTTAGGACACCTTAGCAACCACCTAGCAACGCCTTAGCAACCACTTAGAATACCCTAGCAACCACCTAGCAACACCTTAGCAACCACCTAGCAACCACTTAGGACACCTTAGCAACCGCCTAGCAACCACTCAGAACACCCTAGCAACCGCATAGCAACACCTTAGCAACCACCTAGCAACCACTCAGAACACCCTAGCAACCGCCTAGCAACCACTCAGAACACCCTAGCAACACCTTAGCAACCACCTAGCAACCACTCAGGACACCCTAGCAACCACCTAGCAACCACTTAGGACACCTTAGCAACAGCCTAGCAACACCTTAGCAACCACCTAGCAACCACTTAGGACACCTTAGCAACCGCCTAGCAACACCTTAGCAACCACCTAGCAACCACTCAGGACACCCTAGCAACCGCCTAGCAACGCCTTAGCAACCACTTAGAATACCCTAGCAACCACCTAGAAACACCTTAGCAACCACCTAGCAACCACTCAGGACACCCTAGCAACCACCTAGCAAAACCTTAGCAACCACCTAGCAACCACTCAGGGCACCTTAGCAACTGCCTAGCAATGCCTTAGCAACCAACTAGCAACCTCTCAGGACACACTAGCAACTGCCTAGCAACACCTTAGCAACCACCTAGCAACCACTCAGGACACCCTAGCAACCACCTAGCAACACCTTAGCAACCACCTAGCAACAACTCAGGACACCCTAGCAACCACCTAGCAACACCTTAGCAACCACTCAGGGCACCTTAGCAACCGCCTAGCAACGCCTTAGTAACCACCTAGCAACCACTCAGGACACCCTAGCAAGGAATTACCAACCACCTAGCAGAACACATTAGCAATGCCTAGCAACCACTAAAACACCCTAGCAACCACCTAGCAATGCAGTAAATCACTGATTTATGATTGTCTCTGACATTTATTCATTCTGCTCAGACTTGTTTTCAGGAAACACCAACTGTTACTCACACAAATACACACACACACACACACACACACACACACACACACACACAGGGCTGGAGTGGGACTCCTTTTTAGCTCTGGAGTTTCAAGCCTTAGAACGTCCCACATCAGTCGACGACTGACTATGTTAAAATAATGTTATTTCCAATATAGTTTCAAATGACACTAACACACTAACACGTTTTTCAAGGACACAGGTGCCTTAGAACTTCACATTTTTATATATAAATATGAGAATATTAATTCTTTATAGATATCCAGTCCTTTGTAATGGTTGTAATAAGTAACCCAAACAGTATTATATGTCTTTACACTACAAATTAAAAAAATTATCTCTCTGGTAAGGTTTGAACTCGGATCGCTGTCTTCGTAACCGAACATGCTAATCACTTGACCACGATCTCACTATTGAATCCAAGTGTTTGGGATAAAAAATAAGTATTGCACTGTTATCTGCTGCTATTGATGTCTACTTTTTTTTTACCCTACTCTTTCTCTCTTTTTAGATTTCTGATCAAGTTATGTCAGACTTATTAATGTAGTGAATCATCTGATTTTTATTAAGCAGGTGTAATAATCATTAATATTAATTAATATTCAGTAAGGTGCCGCTGTTTAAGGTGAAATGATAGTTACATCATCATTAACCTGCGGGCTGCAAAGCGCGCGCGCGCGCGCACACACACACACACACACACACACACACACACACACACACACACACACACACACACACACACACACACTCACAAACACAGAGAACAATTATTTGAATTTAGACATTTTTATTCACTGTAATACATAAAGATAGCTACATTCAAAATGGAAGATGGTAAACAATGTCTAATGTCAATGTAAACAATTACAATTAATTTACCTGTGTTTTATAAATAAATAAATATATATATATATATATATATATATATATATATATATATATATATATATATTAATTAATATATATAATGCACACTTTTTTATTTAGGCACTAAAAAAGTCACACTTGAAAACGGGTGTGGTCCTCTCCATAAATGGAGAAAATCTTAATTCTGCAGGTTGATTGGCTGTGCCTTGCCTTCTATTGGCCAACGATGATGAGCCGTCTTTAGGTTCCAGAACTTTCTGTGGTGAGTAGGTTGTTTTAGAGTTTTGCTCTTATAATTGCTGTTTAACGTTAAATTAAAACATGTATATTAAAAAAATTGCTGTAGCTTGTAGTGGATGTAAAAATAGCCATTCATGTCCTTAATCCTAGCGGGATTTCAGGTCTGCATGATAATTCAGGCTGAAGCCGTTGTACTAACGGTTAGATCTTAACTTTATGCAGGCTGTATCACGTACAGTCACTTTATACTGTAATAAATTTTAAAATGAAGTCGCGATTACAAGAGGTACGATTCAAGTCGCAAAAGCTGCAATTATTTTGATAAATAACGTTACTGTGGCGAGGGCGGCCCATTAAAACATCCTACTAACTATCGTCAACGTACTTAAGTTAATCAGCAGCCGACCGTTACAGCAGAACCCACGAGCTTGTATTTCACTGATACTGAGATGAAATGAAAGCCGCGAGCTAGAGGTCTGCATTCCCGCGGCCCGCGGCTGTACTGAAGCTGAGAACCGGACGTTGTGTGTGTGTGTGTGTGTGTGTGTGTGTGTGTGTGTGTGTGTGTGTGTGTGTGTGTGTGTGTTAGACATTTGACCTGCTTCTTAAGGTAACGTGTCCTCTCGGCTATTACAGCGAGTCTTGTGGTTAGACACACATGAGCATGTTACCCTGCAGCTGGAGTTTTCTTTACCGCGTTTATCATGAATCAGCTGTGATATCCGCGCATGTAAGACTGTAACCGTGGCCGTTTGTCCGTTTCACCGTCACTCCGATGAATAACTCGAGCCGCGGTAACCGCAGTCGAGAATAATCCAGCCTTTTCTGTTGCGTGTGGGAACACAATGACCGATTATAGGTGTTTAAGAACTTGTTCGACAGCGCAAAAAAAGCAAGCGAGATTATATTTACATCACTTTATTTGTTGTAAATGCTCTTGTCCTGTGCATGTAGTTTAGCTTTGTTTGAAACATTCAAGAACAGTGTTTTCTTTCAGCAGGTAAAATAAACGAACAAATGATATGTAAATGTGTAAATTATACATTTTATTGCAAGATTTCTTGTGCTGTGAAGTAAAATCTAAAATTGGTTATGGAAAGCATTGTCAGTGCACTGTGAATGTCCTGAAATCAATATAAAAATGTAACACAATCTAAATGCAATGGTTTTATACAAGTTTACTTAATATTGCAGATAGAATTTATGTAATTGACATTTAAATACAATAGTCATTTCCCTAGTACAAATGTGCTTTTTATGCGACATGATTGTTTCTACTTTTATCTTTTAGAACTGTTTCACCAGCTATCCATCCTGTGTCAGGTAATGATTTAATATATTGACAGGGTAAAAATAAACATGCTTTACTTACAAAAATTCTGGATTTTTGCAGCAGTTAAACTCACTTTTTGGATTGTAATCAGTTTTTAAGATAACATTAATTGCATACATTTATCAGACCACTACTATAACATGACTAAGGGGGGAAATTAAGTGACCAAACATTCTGTTTCTCCAGATTTGTTAGTTATGGCCTTGATTTAAAGGGATGGTTCACTCAAAACTGAAAGTTCTGTCATTTACTCACCCTTTGTGTTTCTTCTGTTGAGCAAAAAATATGCTTTCAAGAAAGCTGGAAACCTGTAACCATTTACTTCCATAGTTTTTATTTTTCCTATGTACTATGGAAGTCTAGTGTTGCATCAATTTAGCTTTTTTTTCCTCCAAAATATCTTTAGTATTCAACAGAATTAAGTTAGTCATAAAGGTTTGTAACCACTTCAGTGTTAGTAAAATGCATAAAAGTAAGTCAGTTGTTTATTTTGGGGGGAATTGTCCCTTAAATTATTCTTTTATAACTTTGGTCCTATTCAACTTCATTCTATTACATTGTTTGGTTACTACTTTTCAAATAAATGTTTTTTTTTTCCAAGGAAAGTACAGTTGGTCTGAGTAACACCCAGGTTTTTTTGGGTGTGTCTGAAAAGTGTTATTCCATGGGATATTGATTTCTTAAACTAAAAAAAAAAAAAACATTTGTATTGTGTAAAATCTAATACAAACATGTCTTGAAATTAAAAAAAAAAAAAAAAAAAGAATTGATTTACTGAAATGCATAACTACAGGTCTAAATTGTAAACCCAGAGAAACAGTTAAGGGGTCTGTTTTTCCTCCTGGGAAATAATGGTCTGTTTTTCCCCTACATCACTTTTCCAAGCATCTTTTGCAAATTGCTCTGATAGTATGTTTGTCGCAAATTGACTCCTTTAAAAAATACATACATGCTTTTGATATATCCAATTTATTTTATTTACAGATTAACTATGTTATTGATAAGTGATGTTTAACATGGAGAGAAGGTAATGCATAGTTGACATTAATTTTCATTAAAGTTATTTTTTGTCCCTTTTTCAGAGAGACTCACCAGATATTCGAGATTCTTCACTGCACTTTGCATCTTGGTGAGTGTTGGATAACATTTTTATTTCAAAAATTGACAACAATAGTTGTTGCTTTGACCTAATTTGTTCTATTTTCTTTGTTTTTCAGGTTTCTTGTGAAAAATAAAACAACTACTTCTGTTGTTTTATTTTTCAGTGTTCTCCATTCTTACAGGGGATTACGTTTCTTTTGTTTTAATAAACTTAGCATTTTGTAATTTATTTATATATATTTATATATATATATATATATATATATATACATATATATATATTTTTTTTTTACGTTTTTATAAAGACTTCAGTTCTGTATTTTTTTTCATAATTGTTGTTTTTGTTGTTATAAAAAAAAAAAAAAAAAACTTTATAAATTACACACTGTACTGTCTTCTATAGTTGCTAACCTCTGTTTTCTTCCAGATACTACAAGTTTCATCTTCTCAGGTTCTGCCGTGCTTTGCGTCAGGGGAAGTTTTAAAGTATGTGCCAAAGAGAAAAATATTGGTTTGCTTTCTTTATGTCTCCTAATGTGGCAGAAGTCACCTCATATCCTAAAAAGTACTATGCATAACTATAGACCTAATTTTAATCCCAGAGAAACAGTTATGGGGTCTGTTTTTCCTTGTGCAAAATAATGCTCTGTTTTCTCCCTAATTAACTTTTCCGAGCATCTTTTGCAAATGACTTTGATACTATATTTGTCGCAAATTGCCCTCTTTAAAAAACAGATAAATGCTTTTAATAAATCCCTAACTATTTATTTTATATACAGATTAAGTATATTATTGACAAGCAATGTTTAACATGGAAAGATGGTACTGCATAGTTGACATTAATTTTCATTAATGTTGTTATTTTTGTCCCTTTTTCAGAGAGACTTATCAGATATTCCAGATTCTTCAGATACTACTGGTTTCATCTTCTCAGGATCTGCAGTGCTTACATCGGGGGGAAGTTTTAAAGTATGTGCCAAAGAAAAGAAAAAAAAGTAGTTGCTTTTTAAATGTCTCATATTATGCCAAAAGTCACCTCATATCCTAAAAAGTACTTTAATGTAACACCATTTCTGTACATTTAATTAAGTTTATTTTCAACACATGTAAAGAATTTCAGTTTGGTGTGTCTGAAAACTGTTATTCCACATAATATTGGTTTCTTAAATAAAAAAATAATAATTATTATCGTGTAAATATAAGTACTGACATGTCTGGAAATACAAAAAAAGTGTACAAGTACTTTACAGTGAAACAAGAATTTGTTTACTAAAATGCATAACTATAGGCCTAATTGTAATCCCAGAGAAAGACTTAAGGGGTCTGTTTTTCCTCCTGTGAAATAATGGTCTGTTTTCCCCCAACATCACTTTTCCGAGCACCTTTTGCAAATGACTCTGATAGTATATTTGTTGCAAATTGGCCTTTTAAAAAATACATAAATGCTTTTGATGTATCCCTAACTAATTATTGTATATACAGATTAAGTATGTTATTGATAAGTGATGTTTAACATGGAAAGAAGGTACTGCATAGTTGACATTAAATTTTCATTAATGTTATTTTTTGTCCCTTTTTCAGAGACACTCGTCAGATATTCCAGATTCTTCAGATACTACTGGTTTCATCTCAGGTTCTGCAGTGCTTACATCGGGGGAAGTTGTAAAGTATGTGCCAAAGAAAAAAAATGTAGTTTGCTTTCTAAATATCTCATATTATGGCAAAAGTCACCTCATATCATAAAAAAGTAGTTTGATGTAACACCATTTCTGTACATTTAAATACATTTATTTTCAACATGTGAAGAATTTTAGTTTGGTGTGTCTGAAAAGTGTTATTCCACGGAATGTTGATTCCTTAAGTTAAAAAAAAAATTAAAAATCTGTTATTGTGTAAAAATAAGTACTGACATGTCTGGAAATACAAAAAAAAATTGTAAAAGTACTTTAGAGTGAAACAAGAATTGGTTTACTGAAATGCAAAACTACAGGCCTAATTGTAAACTCAGATAAACAGTTAAGGGGTCTGTTTTTCCTCCTGCGAATTAATGGTCTATCTTAAATCACTTTTCCAAGCAAAAGCAAATTACATTTGCTTCCTCCCTTTTTTTTGCTGATCTGAAAAATGGTCCAATCCGTGACTGAAAAATTGAAGTGTGATCTGAATTGTGAGATTTGTGACCCATTGCACCACTAACGTTTATATGTGTATTTGTTTCTTTTAGACTTGTGTTTTATTTGTAACTTTTTTTGTTAAAGGATGCCACGAAAAGGGAAGAGATCTCAGGCTCAGAAATTGCGATGGAGAAAGGTAGACCTTCAAGATGTTGAGACCACCCTTTCCAGCCATAAAGAGGTACTACTAAAATTTGCCAGTATGTCTCTGTAATTTGTCGAGTTAAAGCAGTCACCTATAAATTTATTGATAAAAATAATAGTTTAAAAAATTTTTTTTTTTTATAAATGGGATCAGGAAAATTAAAAAACTGCAGTTATTACACGGTTAATTATTTTCTCATCATAATGCCTTAAAGGGATAGTTCACCCAAAAATTTAAATTCTGATATATACTCACCCTTGGCCTGTGCCAAAGCAGTTTGACATTTTGTTCTTTTAAACACAAAATAAGTCATTTTTAAGAGTGGAAATTACTTGGTTTTGTCTTCAGGGCCGGCCCATGGCATTGTCAGGATTGTTTTCCTTTAGGATTTTTTTCCAGCTGTGGTGGCAGGCCTTTTTTTACACCGATCTACTAACTACCTGTGGCGTTATTTCAATGAGAAATGTCTATTAGAAGTTGAGATCGCATTTATGTAATAGCCTATGAGCATGCAAATCTCTTTGCTTGTGGGCTGAATTCTTCTGCTCATGCACAAAACTTCTTACACACCCCCTCAAATATAAGCCGCTTCAAGAGTGCGCAGATCTTCTTGTGCAATGATTCGGGTGTGTGTTTAAACAGACAAATACACTTAAAAATGTGTTAACATGTCTGTCCTGCATTATGTATTTTAAACGCAACAAATTTTCTCTTAAATAAGCACGAACAATTACTAAAATAATCAAATATTTTCATTATAGATCTGTACATTCTTAAAGTTACACCTCTGTTATCAAAGAAAACGCAATGAGAGATTCCTCTGCTGCTCTTCACTAAATAACTATAGTAACTTTAAACAATATGCAAATACAATCAAAAGTGAAGTAGATTTTTTTAGCTTTATTTTATGTATAGGCCATTGATTTTAATAGGCTAAACTTTTTATTTTATTGTCAGTATTTTCTAATGTTTGCTATGTATTCTATCATTTGAAGCTATTTGGTGTCCTGTATTTTGCCTTGGGCGCCAAATTGGTTAGGGACAGGCCTGTTTGTTTTCCATGGTATTTGTTTTTACTAATGATGTCGGTGGTTACAAGGTTTTTCTTTTTTAAGAATAATGTATTTTGTGTGCTACTGAACAAAATGACTTCAAGAAGTCAAGGGGGAGAAAGTACTTGCAGAATTTACACATTTGGGCAAACTATTTCTTTAAATTTCTCTTAACAACAATAGTCAAGTGTTTGGTTTAGGTAAATTTAGTCAAGATCATTAACTTGAATAATGACTTATTTACAATGTCTGTCTGATTTTACACCAGTAAATGTCACAAGATAAACCTGCGGTCGAATGTTATTTGAGAAGTAATTATGCCTAAATGACAATAGACTACATATAAGATATAACAATATTATAACAAGGACAACATGTTTGTGCACTTTCTAAAGACATTAGTTCAGTTTTTGAATTAAGGGTAGGAAATGAATGCTTTACTCTTCGATTATTAAAATAATCATTAGTTGCAGCCGTAGTTATTATATTCATTTATGTTTCTGCCTTTGCCACCATCTGTAAACGTATTATGAAAAATATGTTGCTGAGGACAACTAAATACAAAAACACATTTTGTATTCTTGTTTTGTTAAAATTACTCCATATTGTGCTAAGGGTTCAACAATGTTCTAGCCACTTTAACATCAATTGTATAAAAGCCATTTTGAATAGCAATCTAATATAGTAAATTATTTTTACAGGTTGAACAGGCTAGTACCAGTGCTGCTGTTGCCCCACTTTCTGTAAGCCAGTATGCAGAAAGTGATGATAATGCACCCAAGTTTGTGTCAGTGCAGGCATCTCATTGCCAGGGTGATGTTCGGTATGATGAGTTCTCAAGAAATCACCAGTGTGCCTGTATATCACTGACATTTTTGGCCAGTCACAGTGCAGGGCTTCAGTTCAAGATGTCCGATCTTGATAGAGTTTTAGAAGAGGGGGATGCTTTGTATGTCAGCGTTAAAATGCAGCTTATCAGTGAAAGAAGATTCCTTAATGACCATCTGTCCATGGAGGAAATACCTTCTGAACTTACAACATTTAACCGAACATACAATGTTCACAAGTCTGAAGTCAAACTTGGATTACTCAAAGCCAAAGGTGCCCCTGATATGGAAGATTGGTTTTTGCCTCTTGCTGAAAGATTGCAGTGTCTCGCAGCAGATGTCACATTTGCACTTTTAATCGTTTCTCCAGAATGCATTGCATTGTTTAGAGATGGATCAGGCAGATATGGATTCTTTGATCCACATTCAAGGACTGCAGAAGGCTTGCCTGATAAGACCGGATGTGGAACTGCTGTCATGTTAACTTTTACTCATCTAAGTGACATGACCGATAAACTTCTTGAGCTCTTTCAGGATCGCCGTGATGGAGCAAGCTATGAATTCATGCCTGTTTCTTTTGAAACTGAGCAGTGGGCTGGCCAGCAGCCATTACTCTCAGCTTGTGCTCAGTTTTCACAAGTAATCTCAGTTCTACCAGAACCAGAAGAAAATGTTGCTGTACAAAATAGCGGTGCCCGAGAAAACCAAGCCCTGATAGCAAAAAAAAACAAGTCCAGGAGAAGAAGAGAAATGCGAAAGACAATTGCCAATTTAAATTGCAGAGAATCCAAGGACACAACTGCATCTTACATGATGAGAAAACACAAACAAAGAGATGATGAGAGGTACCGGTATGCTGCCTGTTTGCAGTATCGGGCAGCTAAGAAAGAGGCTGTTTGGGTGAAGTACCAAAATGCTCACTTTAGAAACAAAAAGAAAGACTACAGTAATATGCGATACAAAGATGATATTGTTCAGTCAAAGAAGAAAGAATTTATGGCTAGGAGGTACA